CAGGGTCACACTTCCCACATGTTCTTTTTTGTTCTGGGAAGCACACATACAAGCAAGTCAATTTTGTCCTTTAGATACCCTTGAGAGAGAGTAATTTTGCCTCAAAATTTCTTTCACCATTAGAGACAGAACAGCACTTTGGACCTAAATAACCACCTACATCAAAATCACACCCTTGACAATCATCTGTGAGACCATGATGTGAACAAAAAAGGCTTTTTAAAGAAGTTAAAATTAAGTTATATCCTTAACCCTAAGTATCTGCAGAGAAAGCTGTCAAACTTTACCAGGGTACATAAAGGCCTAATTTCAGGAACAGCTGTACTAGCACTCCAAACTGTTCATTTCCACCCTCAGTTAGGTCCCTAAGAGTCTGGTTTGCTTAGCTCTGTAGTCAGTATTACCTTTTCCCAGGCCTAGTGTCACTGAAATCACAGCTAAGAAGTAAGTTAGGATTTGCCATGCCAGAAGACCGGCACTCTGTTGGAGATAGGCTGCAACAGGTTCAGGAATTTCTGTCTCCAGCTGTCACTGCTCTTGGGTCACATGTAATTGAATCATCACAAACAGTTTAGCCTAAAGGTAATGCTTTAACTCCCACCCTCAAATAAACTACTCCCCCTAAAGTATAGCAGCATTAAACATGAACTACACAAAATAAGAAACAATTAACTCTATGCTAACGATTGTGACAGTACCCTAAATCAGTGAGGTAGCTCTGCCTAGATCTTCCCTTTAATGAGCTCCCTGAAGAAAGAACCAAGGTTTCTAAATTAAAAAAGGAAAATTATACTAGAGTAACATCCAGAATACCTAATTTTAAGTAGAGAACATTCATATTGATTATGCCAGAACAAAACGTAAAAAAGATTTTTTTTATACAACTTTCCTCATGGCCAATGTGTCATTAAAGCTGGAAACTATCCCCAGGATTGGTTTTAGGTAATTTAGTGACTTCCTGGGTTGCAGTAAACTTTACCCAGTGCCTGACAGACTCTAGGAAGGTTCTCTTCCATCACCTTTAAAGCCTGGTTCTCTGCTCTTTCAGCCATCTTCACTCTCTGCTTGTCTCCAGGCTGCCATCCACACACTGGGACCCTAACTTCTGCCTCCAATACTCTTGCCCCCTAGACAAGACTCTGCTCTTCAGGAAAAGGCTAATTTTTCCTCCTTTTAGGAGAGTCCTAGCACTCAACTCATATTATTTAAAGAAATATTGCATAAAATCAGGAACAAACAAATCAGGCATGCTTTTTACTCTGCCAAGGCAAAGGTAAAGATGTAGGAGAGACTTGCCCATTACAACTGGAATGCTGATGTCAAAAAAAAAAAAAAAAAAAAAAGGCGGCAAATGGTTTGATGCAAATGGGACACTGAGCACACCATAGGCTAAAGTTTAAATTTATCATGTAAGCCTGAAAGATTGCACATTTTGTTTGTTTTCATGTTAGATTCAGGGGAACAGCATTGAACTTAAACTGCTCTTATATTTCACTAATCTAACTTTTCATAATGGATGCTATAAAAAAGGCTATAAAAGTCAGAAAAGTTACTCTGGAATTGAAATGTTAATAATAGGAAATATTAATCTCAAAGAAAATAATTCTCTTTCTGTGCCCGAGACGCCTGCATGACATAACTCTGAGAAAGACAAGAAGTAGATGCAAGCATGATACTTGCTACGTAACCTCAGGATGAGTACCAGTGTAAGTGATGAAAAGACAAGGGCTGAAAGAGTCACTTGTCTCATAACGTGGAGGATTCTCAGTTTCCTAGAGAAGTAGCAGAACAATTCCCCATTTCCAGACCAGAACTGAAAATTGTCATATATGAAAGGGTAAATCCTTCGCAGCAGTAGCAGATTTTCCTATTAGTGCTAACAGAGTAAATTACAATTCTTTTTGTTCTTGATTTTTCGCTTTGCCCTCTAAATATGCTCTTCCTGCTCCTCACCAGTTCTTAAGCTGCCCCACAGTCATGATGACTTACTTTTTGTTGTGAGCAAATCAGAATTGGTGTGGTAAGAAAACGGAATGTTATTTCTTCTGGTTCATTTAGTTGTCTGTGTTGAAATCTTTTTTAAATAATTTGACTTTGATAAATGGATACTGTGGACTCAGAACTATAAAACGGTTTAGCAAAGACAGAAAAAAAGGTCTTGTCCTTTCTGAAGGAAGAGGTTAGAGCTTGTGTTCCTATTCTGCCAGCGCTTTGATGAAAAGGGAAGGAAATAGTCTGAGCAAATCAGAGCTAGAAACTCCTCATAGCGTCTTAATGAGGACTCCCCTGAATGGCTTATGACACCAAAATAAAGAGTAGATGGTTGTAAAGCAGTTTTCTAATGCTTTGAAAATGTAAAGGTTTAGACTATTCTTACAGGCCAAAATGTATTACCCTAAGTAGACCCAGTTAACAGTTTCACTGAAACTATTTATAGTCAAATTATTTGTTTGATAGATCCACTTTTTCTTGAAATATATGGATTTTGAAAATTAACATTTGGAACAGAATAGATTGGGTTTATATGTTGAATAATTACAACTCGACAGACTGAAATAGAGTGCTGAATCTTATTAACAAAATGAAAATCTTGTTTCATATAAGCATTAAAAGTTCACCTTTTTGCCTGACACATGATAGTTTATCAGAATCTTTAGCACACTATCTTAGCTAAATCTTGACATTTTCATGAGATGGAAAATTTGTTTATACTTTTGACGAGCTCCAATTCTCACACTATTAAAATAGCAATAACATAATCTTGCAGTAAATATTGACAGCACCAATAGGTAAAATTTCAGTAGTTTAAATCAGGTGTTTCACCAAAAAAAGAAGAATCTTATTCTGAATGGTTATTCATTAAGCCATCAAATTATTCAAGGCAAAGCTAAAAATGTCTGAAAACAATTGCAACTTTCTGTTTGTTTAACAGCTTAAATACTAAATATAGTGTGTGGTCTAAATTTATTGTGAGCCTACATGAGAAGTTTTACCTTAATTCTTTCTCTTACCAATCTGAGATAAAGAGACAAAGATGCAAAGGAACCAAGATTGTCCTTATTGTATTCAGCTGCCTTGGAGGTAGATGAAACCCACAGATGGAGCACTGCGGCAAAACTGGCATAGCTTTTGCTTCTACAGTGCATGTTCCACAGATAGAGTTACTACTCCTCAGTTCTCAAAACTTGGCACCTGCATGATGATTAACATGAGATTCAGGTGAGGGCTGAGGGGAGTGGATTCCAACCAATGCTGAGGCTTTTAGGAAGAAAAAACCCTGAAGATTGCTATTAAACACAACATATGAATGAAAGAAGTTAAGAGGCAGGAAGTAACACAAATAATGCCCCAAAATATTTCTGTAGACCTATGCAGAAGAACCTAGAAATATACATGAAGTAAGGGATTAAAATAAAATTTCTTTAGCACGGCTACTGAGAAATGCTGATTTTTCAGAAGGCAATACTCAGTGATTACTCACAGTCCCTATGGCATTTTCTCATGTCTGGAAAGAACTGAATTTACTCCATTCACGAATTACATCTGCATTTGTTAACTCTGGAACTTTGATTTAAAAATACTGCACCAAAACTACATAAGAAAAAAACGCAGATCAAGCTAAAAGAAAATTCATGTAAATCAAATCATTCTGCCAACTATTCATCCCAGTAAACTACTGGCTAAACAGAAGTTCTGGTTTCTGAAGAGTTTGATAGGTATTTCACTACGTATTTTTAGCTAAAAAGAAAAATCCCTTAGAATATTAACACCTTAGAGTAAAATTAAATGTATTCTGTTATATATTTAACATCAATGAAAAATTCCAATACACCTAAAGTTCATCCTATAGAGATAGAAGCCTACACATGCAAATACCAGTTAGACAAGAATCAGTCTATACTTTTACAAATATATGGGATTAGTGTCATGCTGATTAGCTAGCTATCATAACACCTATCTCAGTGATCAGTATTCAAAACTTATCAAATCTTGTTTTTAGGATTAGTGTGGCTTTATTCTGCATGTTGTCGTCAAAGTAAAGATTGGCTCTTTACCCCAAGGTGTTCATAATCTAACAGCTGGATTTGCTTCTAATACTATTTACACTGAACAGCTCTGCCATGCATAAGATGTCCAAATTTTGCAGATAACAGATTGTAAATGAACAGAGATCAAACTGGCAAACAAGGTAATAATTAAAGAGTGGGGAAGAAACGTAATCTGTATTAAAGCATTTTTTCCTAATTATACTTCATACTTTGTCTTAAGTGAAAACAAGACACAGTGCATAAATAGAAAATCAACATGGAAGGGTAATGGAGACAACTTTACAAGAGCAGATGAGCAGAAAAAGAGGACTGCTTCAGGTGTAAGCAGAGAACAGAAAAAGAAACAGTGGCATAAGGACCAGAAAAAAAAATGAGAAGAGCAGGATTATAAAGGGTAGAAAACAGGAAAAACTAATATTTAAGCAAAGGCCCGTACAAGTATGGCTCTGGGGTTGTGACTTTTGGTTTTATTTTACTCTCTCTTTTACATCTGGTCTATAACAGGGTGAATTGATTAAATCAGTGGAATTACTGGTGATATACATCCAACGTGAAGAGCGCAGGATCGGGCCATGAGTTATGAAAGAAATTTGAGGCAGAGACTGAAAGGAGATAGCTGGAGTTCTTCAGAGTAATATTTAGATAGTTTGCTTAAAGTTGGAGAACAAGGGAAACAATTAAAAGAAATGAAGACAAAAGATAAAGATTACAATCTTTCACATCGAATACACAAACTGTATTCAACACTTCTTTAGATGATGGAAATGCAAAGCCTGTTCATGTCCTGTCCGTTTTATCCCTGGACTTGATTCATTATTAACTCTGGATTTACTTCTGATTTTATACCATCAACCTTTTAGTAATTTATCTACTATGCAATCAGCGACACAAGTAAGATTCTTTTTGGTCTGAATTCATAATTCTACTGTCTACTATTTGCTATCATATTACCTTGCCAACAAGCACCAACTGTCAGCTGCATAGCTATGTGTGAAGGGTGGATAGGCCAATCATTGGTCACAAGGTAAGGTTCATATGTTGTTCCATCCATGTATAACGTAACAACGGGAAACTCAACATTGACAACATAGTAATGCCATTCTTTATCACAAATCTGAAAGACAGAATGCAAGACAAAAATATTAATTAGCACTTATTGTCAGGTGACTAATTTTTATATCCCATGTTTTTTAAATTGTATTGTTTCCAAATTCCACACATAGCAAAAAAAAAAGATTGCAATTTATACATCACTAAAATTAATGAAAGTTAGAACAATGTTGATAAATACTCGTGGTATACTTGCAGAATATATTTGGTAAATAGAGGCATCTTAAAACACACTCTTTGAAAATAAGACATGGATAAAACAGAAAAATCAGACAATTTGGTATTTGCTCTGTATTTTCACATTCGTTAATACATAATATTAGTTTCTTAATGTCTATATTGATTACTGAGAATACAAAACTCTATGTAAGAGATGCATACTTGGGATGTATTGGCATAGTTACTGGGGATCCCTATTAGCTTCAAATTAAGAAAATATATAGCACTTAGTACTAGATTGATGAGTTATTATCAATTATTTGATTCAATTATCATTATTAACTTATTGCATTAGTACTTAGAAAATCCTATGCAATGCATCAGAACCTCCACAGTGCTAGAAGGACCTCTGTTGTGCTCTGTATACACACAGATGGACAAGTAGTCTATGTGTCTACCTGATTTGGGCAGGAAACTCAAATCTTCTCTGTGCTCCATCTTTTGGCCTTGATCTTTTTCCTAGATAGTCGGCAAAATGAGGATCTATATTGTTTCGCTGATATACATCAGCTTTGAAAAGCAACGGCCACAGTTACAATATACTTTCAAGATGACAATATTAGTGTCAAATCTCATGAATTTCCGAGCTGGACAACCAGGGATTACTGCAAGATGATCAAATTCAGTTTTAGTTCAGAAATGTACAGCTAGCTGAATCAGTGCCTCTGAAGACAGAAGTCTAGTGTGCAAATATCAATGCCTGCCCAATTCTTTTTTCCTTTATTGTATCTTTCAGATTTAAAAGTTTAAAGGAATAAATCACAGCAAATTGGTAGGATGGGTGGGCTGTTTCTAAAAATAAAGCAATAGTTACAATCATGCTGCTTTCAATTCTGTAGAGGTATTTGGTTTGATGTATTAAGAAATGGAAGTGCTTGAATGCAGATATCCTTCCTGTTTCATAAAGGCAGGCAGAAAAGTGATGTTTAAACATAACACTTTGTCCTTGGCCAGGTTAAGTGCTATCTGCTGCAATATCTGCCCTTTGAAAGCAAAAGCTAATGTTTTGTTCCAGAAGACATTTCAACAAGAACTTAATCACTTCTATTTCAAACGGATACATTTATTACTGCAGACATCATAGCTCCTCAGCAAGAGATAAATGCAGCAAGGGGCTGCTAGAGCCTTCCTTTTGTAAGCAGTAGACAGCACAAATGTTTTCTGAAGGTTAAATGAACTGAAACCAAAATTGAAAGTAAATAAATTGGAAGACTGAAAACTTTATTGAACAAACAGCAATCACAAACAGTATTATGCAGTCCTCCCTTTCAAGAAAAACAGCTTGCCAAGTTTCCTGACCTGATCATTAGAATGTGATGCATCACAGCCGCGTGTGTCAGACATTTTATATAAAGCAAAATGAACGATGGGCCTGAGTTTGAGAGACCTTGCATGACAAAAACTACAGGCATTAACACTTGACACTCTTCAGAGAACTGTTCCAGAGTATTTCTGTTTTGCAACCCTAAACTGCGTCATTTGGGATGCCCCAAGTGCTATTAAATGAGTGAGCAATCCTCCTCATATTTAACCAAAGCAAGAGCACTTTAATATAGCAAACCCAAACATTTTGGAATTTCATATACACAAAGAGCATGATAATGTGTAGCTAGTCTGATTACTCTATTGACTGACCAACAGTGCAGCTACATTTTTCAAAGAAAATGCTTTCTGGAAACACAAGACTACATAAATTCCACAATTCAAGACTCCAGCAACTGGGATCCAGTGCTTCCATGAAAAATGTAGATGCCCGACTGAGATGTCCACACTAGACAAAGTACTTATTAACCTTTATTTTTCCTGATACATTCTGGAACATAAGATGGTACAAGTGTAGACAGCTTGGTGAAGTCCTCAAACCATCACTTGCATTCTTTTCCTTAAATTTCAACACATAAACACATCAAATTTTATTTTAAAGGGAATTTAGGCACTTAAAGATTCAGCTTGGTGCTTCCTGAGATTTCAAAAGCACCCATGTTGGTCAGGCGCTTAGTTGTCACACGATTTCAATACAGCTTAGATACACAGACACATGTATATTCCACCAAAAGATCTTTAAGTATCTGTACTGGGTCCCAGTGTAAAAACAAATATTCTACAAGGAAACAATAAAATTATTTTTAAAAAACTGGAATACATCCCAGTCACGCAGCAGCAGGTAGTATTTCATGCCTGGCCATTTCACAGGCAACAAAATAATGAAATAAATAGTTGTGGAGTGTAATTTGTTATGCTGTCATTTCAGACACCTTCTTCACCTTCTTAACATAGGAAGCCAATTTTTAGCCTGCATGCATTCCACAGTGGCAATGGAATGTAATATGATTGCAGTGAAGCCATGAAAATAAAATTATAAAATATACTAGTTTGGCAAATAAAGAAATTTTAATCATCTCAAGTAAGAGCTTTATTTTTAAAAAAATCTGATTTATAAAGCTATCCTAATGAGATAAAATTACAGATGAGTAAGCTTGGCTTTCAAAGATTGCTGGATGGCTGGGTTGGTCTAATCACTCTATCATGTCAGTCTGCCTCTGAAATGTATTAATCAAATCACAGTGAATTAACCAGCTTGAAGTCTTAGTGCTGATTACAAGCCATTGCATTGGAATATGCTTTTATGAAATAGATGAAAACAGATTCAATGTAAATCTTATGAAGTAAGTTTCCCAAGATGTTAAAGCTCTTAGCATCTTCTGATGAATGTCAGAGATTTTTCTGGTTTATATTGGAATGCTTAGGAATGGACTGAAACCAAAGTACTTTGGTCTGAGAAGCACATGGTGCTTAGAAACAGACTTTGTTGGTCTGCAAAATGTCTCTTTTTATGGCTTTGTACATAAAGGCTAGGCACGCACACATGAGAACACGTGCTTCACAGCTTACAGCTTTTTTAGTCTCACTTAGGTCAGCTGGGGCATACTCAGGCAAAATGGATCTTTCACCTGTTTGACTACGTACACAAAGAGAACCTGTACTTTGAGAAGTGTCCCAGTGTCTTGGTTCAACACTGAAGGGCCACACATGTTCGCAACCCTCTGACTAGCTTCCTGAAAGTCCCTTAAGTAATGTTCAGCAGACCATGCAAAAAACTCTGCTCATCCTGTCAGTGCTACTCAGTGCGTACTTTGAGTCTATCCCTTCAGAGCTGAGAAAACAGGTATTACTTCCATCTTTCTGGTTTGTGTGACTTTGCTGAGGAAGTGTTCTCAGAATACACTCAAACATCCACAAAAAAACAGCAAGAAGAAAGAAGAAAAGGAAAGCAAGGAAAGCTCTCTACTTACTACAAATAGCACTACTTAGTGCAGGTATGAGACACAAACTCCTTTCTGCCTACGTGGTCTGAACTGTTATTTTCTATAGGTTGTTTGAAGAACCTTAATCCAGCTCTAAAAAACAAAGCATGCCACTCTGTTCACTTCTTGATGCCTTGTGTAGTGGCTTAACATGCTCTGAACCTCTCAACATCCGCCCTTGCTCAGCATTCATTAGACCACATCTAAAATACTGTGCCTAGTTTTGGACCCCTGAATACAAGAAATACTTTGATAAACTGGAGTCAATTCAGTGGACAGCCAACAAAATGGCCGGCTCTTGCTCTATGAGGAGGGGCTGAGGGAACTGGGCTTGTTTAGCCTGGGGTGGGGCAGCGTTAGGGGGACAGTAACAGCAGCCTTCCAGTGCCTAGGGAGAAATTACCAGGAAGACAGAGACAGGCTTTTCAAAGTGGTGCATGCTGTGACAAAGAGACAACGGATATAAATTGAGACAAGACAGGTTCAGACTGGATATAAAGTAAGCCTTCATTTCACCATGTGGACAGCCAAGCAGTAGAGCAGGCTGCCCAGTGAGGTTGTGGCTCCATCCTTGGAGATTTTTTCAAGACCTGTCTGAATAAAGGCCTGAGCAACCTGGTCCAAGCTCATAGCTGCCCCTGCTTTGAGGAGGAGGTTGGGCCAGAGACCTCCTGAGGTCTCTTGCCAGCTAAATTACAATTCTGATTCCATAAATACCATTATACTAAAAGTGATAGAAGGGAAACAGCGTCACTCTGATGTGGCATTCTTCTTAAATATGGGAGATGTTTAAATCCTCTTAGCCACAAGAGTTACAATTCAGGTTTGCTATCTCAAAGGTGACTGCTGTAACCACCAGGCTATGAGGTACAGCAGCAACACTACCACCGTGTTCCTCTGGCCATATTTTGAAAAAGAAAGACCAACCCCTCCAAAGTTCTTGAAAGGTGTGTAAGATGTCTCCATGCTCTGATTTGTGATGACTTTCTTCCATAAACAACTCCTACCATGACATATTTGGGAGAGGTTATGTGGACATTATTTCTACATGCACATTTCACCATGTTTTGAAAAACTGGATGTCATTTGTCATTGATGCTGGCAACATGGATGTTTACGAATCAGATCCTCTTTAAAGGATGACAGATGTATAAGGTTTTATTTTAAGTTTGCACTCCTTTCACATAAAGATTAGAAGATGTTCTATATTTATGCCAGCTTTGATGAGAAGTAAAAGTCTAGAGAGTCTAGAGAATAAAATCTGTGCATTCATTTCAGAACCACAACTACTGGCTACTCCAACGGACTGCACAAAGTGCACATATTCTAGTACGGAGGTGTTTGTAACTACATAACATGAATGCAAGTCCTCTTCCAAATTAGCTTCATGCTTTTGGAAAAGCTGTACCTTGGTGGAGGCAGAACAAATTCTGGCTAAGCAAGGCCTCTTTGAAAACTTGGTATGCCCTACCCCACAGAC